CAAGTAATAAGTGCATAAAATGTAACCGATGCTGGGAAGAGTAATATTTTGAACCTAAACTTATTTTTGAGCGTGGCTCCCCTGTAAAACTGACATTTTCAGCCGATAACGTTAATAACTCTTTTCAATTGGAAGCTACAACAGCAAGGAGCATAAATATTTCATTTGATCATTTATCCAAATATTAATTGATTCAGCATACTTTTATTTATTTTTTTTACATAAGATGGGGTATAACGTTGGGATTGGGTAAGAAATCGGAAAAAAATAGAAACTCAATCTAAATAAATCTCGAGAGTCGATTGGCATTTACGTTATAATCATTATACTACTTTTACAAACTTCAGCTAAGAAGCTATATGAATTTGAGAATTTTTTCAAAACTCACAATTTTTATTTCCTTGAAATTATTCGTTTTATCTCATTTTTTCCAAAAAAATGTGTACGCGTAAAATTTCATTGTATTAGTAATTTTCTTGTGCGTATGAAGTTTTAGAAATATTGGTCATTTACCAAAAGAAAATTTCCAACCCAAAAGTCGTAAAATTTCGACTTTTTCTAATTTGAACCGCAAAATGCAAAGTACAACGTGGCCATTTCTGCATTCCCTTAAAACTTACGCTAAAAAAATCGCGTATGTTGGATACAATGATATATTAAAAAAGTAAAGATTGGAGTTAGATATAAATAAATAAAATGTGCAATTTGCTCCGCAGTAAATCTTGATTCAGCGGGCTGGCCGACTTGTAATGCGTACCTAATTTGAATCAGTGAGTTGCGGGCCAAAGCTTCAGTTAGCCGTAAAATTCCATAATATTGTTTGTTGGTCGGTTATGGCTTATATACCACGCTAAAACCGCAACTGCACGTACCGGGCATCTGCCGTTGAAATAACTTTGATTGATAAAAGTTTCGTTTTTCCAACGAAAAAATATCGTAATTAACGTCGTTTCAAAGTAATTTGCTTGGAACGTAGAAGCTTTTACATTGGAGCAAACTAGCGGCAATATAAGCTTCTCACTGACGACGCAATCATTAGCAAACGCCAGAGCGCATTCAACCTTAAAATGATCAATATTGTTGCAGGGCGAGGACAGTTTTACGAATGAGATTTCAGTTAAATATGATATCGAACATCACTATCACACATTGGCATTATTTGGTATCTTTAGAGCGCATGAACCAGACATGTACCAGCATCAGAAATGCGAGAAAATGTAACGCCTTTCATGCAAAATGTTCTTGTTTTCAGCTTAAGCCTAAGTTCATCTACGCGTAAATATAAAATTTTTAAATAAAAACTGAAAGTATGGAGAGAAAAATTGTCCCCCGGAAAGAATTAAATGAATTTGAGAATTTATTTTAATATTTTATTCCTTTTGCTAATTAGGAAAAATGTAGCGTGATCGAGCTTCATTGCATCATTAGGTTTTCCATCGTGGTTCATATGCGAGTCCAGGTTTCTTATTTACCAGACTGAAAAATGTAGTCAAAGTTCTGTGAGTTTGATCATGTGCGTCAAGCAGAGCGTTGATAATTGCTAGTTATTGTCAGCAGCACAGCGCGTGTAGCATAAAGTCTAGCATTTATTTTACTCATCAATGCCAGTGATTTTTTTTTTCATACGATCGAAATATTTTTTAGAAGTGCTGTGAGTTTAAACATCAGACTCCATCAATCAAAGCGTGAACACTTGTTTGTTATTAGCTGCACGAAGGCATCGAATTACTCGTGTTCAAACGTCAGTCGGAGCGAGATCAATCACAGGGAGTCATAGTTACCTGCCGAGATAATGATCAGAGTAAACAAATGTAGCCCGCCGAGCACATAAAAATTATTCCCCAATTCTAAAAACACCAAAATGTTCAGCTCATTCTGACATCATGTGAGGAATATCGTACTGAACATTTACAAGGAATAGTTAACAGAAGAGAAATTTTGAAGATTCAACCACTTAAAAATATCAAAGGCGGCATATGATTTTACGCGGTGTTTCAACCGCGGTATCTTTTTCGTGAACAAAACGTATTATTAAATAAATAAATAGGAATATAAATAAAATAAATACAAATAAAATGTTGAATTAGTGAAAAATTATTATTTTTTCCTGTGCCAATAAACTAAAAAAAATTGCCTATGCATAAATTTCCTTATGCAAGACTAAAACAGACGAGGAGTAACGAACAATTTGGGGTCGTACATAACTACCAGCGCAGCTGCGAACGAGACGGAACAGTTGTCTTTTGAATACACTAAAGCCAGCTTTCCCTGGACCTGTTTAGAGCAACACTTGCGTCCGCTTCACTGAGAGTGTGCGTTGTGTTCGGTTTGGTTGTCGCGAGTGGTCGCTCGTAGCGGATGGTTGAAATAATGAAAATTCAGAATTTTAGAATTTATTTTGCGGTTTAGAATTTATTTTGTAGCTAGATCGTAGCTGCACTCGCCACGCGATAGAGTAAAATTGCGGTGAGGTTTTGTGACGGTATATAAATATAGGTTTAATATAGTGTTATGCGAAAATGTTCACCGAGTTTTTAAATGATTATATCTCCTCTTCGAATCATAATAATTTTATTATAATTAATTAGTTCCAATTTAGAAAAGATTTTTGTGAAAAACATTCATTGTGAAAAAGAAATCAACTTGAACTTATTGATTTAAAGCGGCGATGTAGTCAATCAAAAGGTCGAAACATTTTTTGTGACGCCCTTTGTCTTTTTTTGCGCAATGCATCCAGTTTACCGTAGTTGTGTACGATTTGAAATTACCAATAAAGTATATAAGAATAGTGCAGTTCGCGGCAATTTTAATAGATCTTCGCGGAAATTTGTGTTAACTGTGCATCGCACCACAGCATCATTGGTTCTGGCTTCACAATTCAGAAGATTTTAAGAGGTGATACCATCAGTGTCCACAACATATTTTTGAGGCAAGTTATTTTTATTTGCATAAATTAATGGATTATTCACAACACTCGCCGTTCTCTTCAAGAAGTTTATGCATTTTCACTAAAGCTCCTCACTGACTTATTGACTGTGGGTTAAATAATTATACATAAAAATCCCTGCACATTTAACTTTAATGTTAAATAGTAAAGAATAATATGTGAAAATCGCAATTGAGATTAACCACGGTAAAGATAAATAAGAAAGGCAAAATAACACTGCATTTTTAGAACAAACTGTAATTTCAAAACGTTTAAACTTGCAAAAATTCCCCAACGCCTTCAGATACAATTATTCCTTCAGTTGGAAAATACTAACATAGTCGCAATTTTATTAATCAATGGCATAACAAAACAAATCTCATTACACCTGAGCACCAATAGAAATGTAATACCAAAGAGGCAGGTATTACCTGCACCACCTGGTATAAATACCTGGTATGGTATAAAATATTATCTGGTATAAATATTTGGCGGCTGCATGGCTTTGTCGATATGTTGCATGGCCTTGTCGATTGCATGGCCTTGTCGGATGTTATTCATGCGCAGATTTGTTTTGCTATAGAAAATACTCTTCGTACTTTGTTTGCCTTAATTTTGATGACGTCCGTGAGGCGGAGGTTACCCCTCTCGCCTGCTGTCTTACAATACTTTGATCACCTGCCCCCTGGGTCTTGACGTTGCCTTGTGTCAAGCCTCTGGACAGAGGCTGGAGAGATAGGACGAAATTATTTTGTACTCGGAATTTGAGCTTCAGTTTTGAGCAGTTGCAATAGACTTCTGGCTCCAATAGCTTTTAGCAATTGATCGTATAAAATGCGTTGCCTCTGATATCTTCTGCTCACTGAAATAAATTTGTGCTGATCGTGAACTTAGACGCGGACTACCGTGAGCACGCACTCCTCTTCAGTGGTAATAAAGATTACGTACATGCTCGTAATGACTACAAATGTGACGATGCTTTATGCGTAGTTTGGCCACGCTTAAGCATTCTGGCTGCTGCATGGCCTTGTCGATACCACGAAGTTTTAAAGGGTTGCTCAGTACTCTGAACTTTCGTCGTTTATTACCAAAGCTTCTACACATGAATTGCTCCATCACCTAAAAAGTATGGTAGAAGTTATGCCCATATCTAAAGATCGTAACTGATGTCTTTTTCTTATCGTAATATTGCTCCGCATTAAAATGTGGTCCAAATTCACGTTTCGCTCTCCGATAGTCAGCCACTGCCGGGATCATGGGTGATTTGAAAGCTCATGCTCTCTTGCTTTGTTTGTAAATGCCTACTTAGGAAATTTGCCTGCTTGTATACATTGTTAATGCAAGTTCTAGAATCACCTATTCGGAATACAAAATATAGGAGATTTTTAATGAACAGTGATGTGGCTCTTAATTTAGAATCGAGGATCTTCGTGCGCGTGTTCGTTCTGTCTGTTGTGAACTAAGATGTTGGGAGCAGGAGTGCCGTTCGAGGAAGATTTATTAATTAATTTACTTCTCAAACTCATCCTGATATTTACCCAGTAAAATAGCGGCATTGTCACTTGTATGTACAATTACGATACGGCAGAGACTGGCCAGATCACTGACACAGTCTTAATGAGCTATCTGATTACGCTCTGGGATCACTCGCAAGGATTGGTCGCTTTTCCAGTTAGACAGTTTCCCAGTTTTTTAATGGTTAGTGAACATATCGATGATCTCCGTTTTCGTTGGAATCGCATATCACCAGCCAAACATGTATTTTCTCCCTTTCCCTATTTTTAAGCCTGATTCTTTTGTCGCGATGATCTTCGTCAACATTTTTTATTGTTTCTAAATACCAAAAGAATATCCTAGAATTGTGAAGACTCCATATCTTAAGACATCAAATATCTAAACCCAGTTCATAACTTTGATATCTTAAATTTTTTTCAACTAATTGTACGTTGTGGATACTATGATACTATTCTTCTACCATGGTTGTCGTACTTTACTGGCATAACGGTAGTAAGGATTGTGTGTAGGTAAACTGTGGTAAAATAACATGTAAAGTAAAACCTGATGAATTTTTTACAGGGATCATTATCATTGTTTGAAAGTTGTTGAAAGTGAAAATAAACCTTAAAGTCAAAATGATGAAGGAGCTTCGCATAAAGGACATCCTCACTGGCCTCTTCACTTCGGTGAGACTGACGTCAGCTTATGTTTGTTCACGAGACATGTCCTCAAAATACACGGAGTGATAAACTTAGCTATTTGGCTGCTTGGCAATTGAATGACTTGCAAACACTCATTTAAGAGTCTCGGTGCATGCTTCATTTTTGATTATTTATCTTTAAAGCAATAGTGTATATGACATATTGTTTGGCCGCGTTGAAATGTTCACAGGATACGTGCCTTCAAATTAAAACCAGCCGGCATCAAATATCAGATATCAAATATGTTTTAAAATTTTCGTAATTGATTGTCATTGAGATGTTATTTTTATTAAGGAAATTTGTTTTACACTGACCGTATTTGCGAGAGTTAATTCCTAAATAGTTTATTTTATAAGAGCCAACTAAATGCACTCTACGACAATTATGCATAGACGAACATCATAACATAATTTCTTGAATTTATAATTTAGGAAAATTATCTGATATTATCAGCGGCGAGATCCACATTTATTATCTAATTGCAAATGAATTACAATGAATTGGCAATCTTGAAACCAGTCACTCAGTTGCCAAGCGCTAAAATATTTTTAAAATATTATAAAAACATCAAGCATGTTTTTTGTACACATAAATTTCCTAAAAGTTCCCTTCATTATTGATGATCGCCTATGTAAGTTAATTGAAGAGCACTGAAAACTGACTCATATTATTATTTATCATTTGCCAGTCTCACAAATTGTCCTCACTTTATTGCACGGTTAATGCTTCTTTTGCACCAAAAGCACTACGTATCTTGTAGTTATCATGATTAAATCAACTTCGACGGCAGGAACCAAATTCTGAATATATCCGAAGATAGTTGTTATTATTTCTTATCCTTATGTACTGTAAGTGTTATTTACATTGATTCATTTTTCCTGATGCTGTTCCCCTCGTTTCATTTTAACTTGTTCTGTGTTGCAGGCGCTGTGCTTTGGACTCTCTATGGCTTCGTATCCCGACAGTGTGAGTACCGTGAGCTGCTACAATATTTTATTTGCTCCTTAGATTATCATTTGTTCATAATCCGGTTTGTACGGTTATTTTTTATTAATTGAACTTTCGTGCAAAAAATGTTGCAGCTAGGCTGCAAGTTTCTTCAGACCCAAAATGCTCGTATCTTTTATTTTTTAATAATGCATGTTCCCTTAATGTTAGAGTAGAATATTAAAGCATTTTCCTCGTAGGCATTTGTTTATTAAAATTTATATTTTATAACAAGTGCAAAGTTTTTCAGAACTTTTTTGTTCGCTCTAGTTGAGACATGAGATAATTTTAAGTTTTGCCCAATTAAAAATGGAATGGAATGATTCCATTTTTAATTAATTTTATGTGTTCAATTAATTAATCATTAATTGAAATTAATTTATCATTAATTGCCAAATTGTGTTATGGTAACCCATACTGAAGCAAACACACACAGAAGTACATCGCTATTTCAACAAAGCCTCTTTTAATTTTCTAACTGTGATCCACGTACTTTAGCACAGAGCTCACACAGAGCCTTATAGAAAACCATGAACAAACAAGCTCAACATTTCATCGCTTACGGATACGATCTCTATTAGTAAATATTAACCTTTAACATTTCTAGTAACTCACCCATGTTCGCCCGCAGGTAAATGTAGCTTCACGCTCGTCTGGACTGCAGGGCTGTCGGGCGACTACCACTTCCGTGCGCTTCAGGACCCTGACGATGCGAGGCCCGAAATCGATGGTGGTGAGCCATTCAAACGAAAAAATACACTTGCAGCATTACGGCGGAAATAGTTTATATATAGCTCTTTCTGCTTATATATATATATATATATATTTTTTAAATATCAAGCTGATAACTTGTTTGAAGACGTAGTTTTATTTCCCATGCCGATTTTGCTCCAAAAATTTTTGCATATTGCTCCTTGATATTGTGAATCATTTTTCGAGTCGTTTACCTGTCATAACTTTTTTCATACCGTTCATTGAATTTCATTCATTTGAGTAGAGTTAATACCCGCATATTCAGCAGGAGAGTGAATCACTCGCTTACTTGCATATTTAATGGGGCATGATAAATGATTAACAGGTGGAGCTACGCGAGTCCATCCTGTAAACATAAAGACGAAAACGTGTTAATATATCAGACTTACCGACGCTAACATGTGTCCCTTCAGACGTACCGACGCTAACATGTGTCCTTCCTTCAGACGTACCGACGCTAACGTGTGTCTAACCTTCAGACGTACCGACGCTAACGTGTGTCCCTTCAGACGTACCGACGCTAACGNTTCTTACTTCAGTTCCTTCCGAAGTCCTCACTTAAATCCATTTCGTAGTTCTTACTTCAGTTCCTTCCGAAGTCCTCACTTAAATCCATTTCGTAGTTCTTACTTCAGTTCCTTCCGAAGTCCTCACTTAAATCCATTTCGTAGTTCTTACTTCAGTTCCTTCCGAAGTCCTCACTTAAATCCATTTCGTAGTTCTTACTTCAGTTCCTTCCGAAGTCCTCACTTAAATCCATTTCGTAGTTCTTACTTCAGTTCCTTCCGAAGTCCTCACTTAAATCCATTTCGTAGTTCTTACTTCAGTTCCTTCCGAAGTCCTCACTTAAATCCATTTCGTAGTTCTTACTTCAGTTCCTTCCGAAGTCCTCACTTAAATCCATTTCGTAGTTCTTACTTCAGTTCCTTCCGAAGTCCTCACTTAAATCCATTTCGTAGTCCTTACTTCAGTTCCTTCCGAAGTCCTCACTTAAATCCATTTCGTAGTCCTTACTTCAGTCCCTTTCGTAGTTCTCACTTCAATTCCTTTCGCAGTTCTCACTGCAGTCTTTTTCGTATTTTCGTAGTTCTCACCTCAGTCATTTTCGTATCATTTTCGTTTTTTTTCGGTTCTTTTTGTACCAGGCGAGTCACGTCGCGGTCAAAATACCTTTTGCCTTGATCGTGGCTGGACCACGCCTGACATAGCAGGTGCTTTTCACAGTTGGCGTGCAAGCGTCTATAAAATGCATAAAAGAATATTGGACCGGACCGTGACTGGCGTGGGCCAGGCGGTATGGTGCGAATCAAGCCTAATTATAAACAATATGGCTCTTTGTTCGGGAATTGTTCAGAATGAAAACTCGTTGTGGATTGTAACGGTTTCTGAAAACAAATAATGAACTATTTAAACACAAAGTTGAGGTTATTCGAAATAATAAACAATATAGAGAAAATAATCGAGGTTTACAAGCAATAAAATGATCATAGCACAAGTAAATGATAACGTAACAAACTGCTGAACAATCTAGGGCAAGGTTGGTTAAAAACTGAATTTTGCCTTATCTCGTCAACTCTGGTCCTACCTAAAAGGTCCCAATCTTATGTACACGGGAGTAGTATGTTCAGTAAAAAATTCTTTACACTAACTATAAAACTTCTTGTTCGCGTTCGTAATTATTGGTCGACTTTGAATGAACTAAATGTTATTTATGAAAGATACGATCAGCTATGGTATGACTGTCCCAATTTTAGGGCTCTGTCATAATTTAATCAGCTCCATATCGTAAAACATTTACTATATTATTTTCAATGTGTCTTAATATGTAAACAAACTTTACATCCATGGATGAGAACGGTGTCAAGACCTATCAATTGTTTTGCAAATTTATAATGTGTTTTTGAATGGTTGGGCCAAAGTTCCTTCAATTGGGGAAACTTTATGCCATACTTCTAAATATTAAGACACCTATGTTGAGTATTGCTTGGGTTAAAGTGAGGCATAATAAAATTATCATCAGATTTCTGTTTTCCCCTCTGATTAGCTAATTATTTTAAACATTAAAAATTAAGCTCACCAGTTAATCCATCAACGAGCATAAAGTTCACGAGTATCCTGAGGAATTAAGAGCTGTGGTTGTGAAATATTTTTCGAGTTTTGAAGCTCTTGCAAAAAAGGGTTGCTAGAAATACATAATTCTCAAAAATATAAATCACATTTCTGTGAATCAAATAAAAAATTGCCAGAAACCAAATTTGGTAATACTTTAGATTAAGTGCATCCAAAAAAGGTGTTTTTTAATTATATGTTTTTTGGGGTGTAGATAAAGAATCTGAAATCCGTTTTTGGCGGTCGGCATCGGAAAACCGATTTTTACCCCGAGGCCCTAATTCGTAAAAAAAATCGGGCAAAATCGGCGAAAAAACCTAACCTAACCTAACCGTGGTTGCAATGTCGTGGTTGCAAGAGTATATGGGTCACCGAGGCCAAGTTAAAAACGCTATAAATCCACGGATATTAGGGCCAAGATTTAACTTGCATTTTATCTTAGAAAATATATATAAAAATCGGCATATATAAAAATAGGATTTCCGATGCCGACCGCCAAAAACGGATGTCAGATTCTTTATCTACACCCCAAAAAACATATAATTAAACAAAAAACACCCTTTTTTGGATGCACTTTAATCTAAAGTAATACCCCTAATTTAACATTTGCAGATATGACTGCCTTCGCGTTCAGTGGAATCTGCACAGCTTACCAATTCAACAGGCAACATTGCTCCTGTCTTGGTGGCGAGAAAGTCATTTACGTGGCGAATTCCAGCATTTCCTACGGACCACCTGCTACTGTGGTGCCTTTCAGTGAGTCCCTGAGATACTTGTGTGAATGAACTGTTACATTAATGCGTATGAGTCTTACGTTCAATGCCAATAAATAACCTGTGAAATTCATAGTTCGCTTGACCAGAATCATATAAAATAGAATAGAATATCATCACCTAGAGTCTTCAAATGTAGCAGTTGGTCAAATATAGCTGCAAATTTTTTCACCATGGTGCTGCTTACCATGGTACTTCGTATCATTATGGTTTTTACTCCTGTTATTTGCTTTAAAATTAAGTATTTATTACCTTTTCATTATTATATAATTCATCATTTTTACAATTATAGTAATAATAATTTAAATCAGTAATTCAGTATAAAACGAGAGAGTTTAGGAACTTTTTATTATAATAGAAATCAGCATTTTACAATCATGGTAATAATAATTTGAATCAGATATTCAGTATGACAGTAATTCAGTGGGCCTAGGCTGATATAATATGACATATTATTAAGCGGTGTTCAATCCATTGTTACTGACTACTTTTTCTCATTGAAAAAATTTTTATAGGAATGAAATGACAAGAAATTAAGAACATTTCTTAACCATTTTTAAGAAATTGCTGTCATGGAAAATTTCCACATAGACTGAAATACTCCAATGATTACATAGAATCCTGCACGTATAGAATTTAATATGCTACATTCTAGCTCATTTAATTCAAAGATGTGCATTAAAATAATCGTTCATGTGGTAGCAAATGGAAAACTTCATGTTAAATTGTATTGTTTTAGCATTCATTCTCTCTTCATATTTAAAAACATAAGTACGCTCATAAACGACCATGACGCTCATAGACCAGACTGCGAAATGGGCTGTGAAAGAAGAGTGCATGTTTACCCTGAAGTGAAGATTTATTACCTGCGCCTGCAGGAGAGTATAACAACCAAAGGTCTGGTCGTGCTTTAATCTACGGAAGTTTCACCTACCCTTATGCTTCAAGTGCTTATATCTAATACTCGAATAATAATTCAGAAATGTTTGAGGTAGCGATCAATGAAGAATAACTAATTAAACCGACGTATATCGAGAAATTGCTAGAAAAATCACACGCTTTACGAATATCGGGGTGCAAAATTTCATCCTCCCTGATAACAGTTGTAATAAAAAGTTTACATAATTTATCTTAATGCCTACGTATTGAAAATAATTAGCCAGGATTGCATTCCAGTGATTGGACCTAGTAATAGTTAAAAAACTCCTTTAGCGACTAACGCGGCTGAGCGCCTTGATGCAGAGTCTTAAGAAGACTCCGACAATCGTGTCGCTTGCGATCGTGTCGATATGGCTACCTGATCGATTCCTGTGGTAATACCGCACAGCTTCTAACTTTAAATAATTACTACCTAAGAATGCCACTTTTTCACTCCTCATCATTATATTATATGGACATTAATTCGAACCTAAAACCCTTAAGACATTATACTTATATAATTCTTATCCAAACTTCATAGAAAAAAAACATCTGACGTAACAATCACTTGTATAAATAGTACTGAAAAACAATCACACCCAAACTTTCTTACTAGAAGCGAGGTAGAACCCTGCGAGTCCCAACCATTGCGCGCTTCGTGATCTTTCTAGTTAACAGTAAACAGGTGACACCAGCAGTCAGGCTACCTAAAGATTGTGCTGGTACTAATTCGTACAACTTATTGGCGCTCATTCGCTATGCCAACCTTAGATCTATTATCCACTTACCTCGAATAGTTAATTATTATTCACATTCATTAAAAAATAAACTTCCATTTAACAAGTCGTTTACCCTTGACAGTAAATCGTTGTTTACTATGTATATCTCAACAGGAACCGCTCCATACATCAACACCACTGTCGAAAATATCGAATTCAAGCAGTACCAGCTCGTGAATTTCTTCTCAGATGTCTTTTCAACAGTTATGAAATCATTTGACGGAGAATGTAAGTTGTCTAAATTTCTAAAATACTGGTTGCACGCTTCAAACTGCAATGAACATTCGTATTTTCTCTCAACAGCGCTTGAACGACACCTGCTCTTGTGAAGGTGTAGTTTCCCTAACCCAGTAAAAATTTAAAGCAGCTGTTGAACCGTGCGCCGCGCACTGAACGGGGCACGCATGGAGTAGTAATATCTCCTTGTCCTGTTGATATCTTCCGCTGAATTTGTTTCAAATAAATGTGACCAATTACTTTACTGTAACTCTCATCCTTCCCATATTAACGCTGAATTGTTGCATTACGATGAATTTGTGCTGATCTACACTCTTGCCAAGTGAAAATTTTGACCTGGGAACTGTTGAGAATGCCAATACTAACTAAACATATGCATTATGTAAATGATTTATTGATGGGAGCTGCCAGCCTCAAGATGGCCAACACGATTGAATTTTATTTGATTTCTCCATCTTTATTTTTTCGACAAGTGTTTTCTGTTGCCGCCTTATGAATGGCACTGACTATCTTGGAGCACGAAATTTTCAGAGTTATTAAAAAGTGGATTGTTAGTTTTCGTCATACGATCTAAAAACGGAAGTTAATTCAAACTTTAAAAACTCGACTATATTGAACTCTATAGCTGCAGCATATTTTAATTACTTCACTAATAATAGATTATTTTCTTTCCAGTGCTCTCTGATTACCGGTACAATTACGTCTTCCCTCGAGTAGATGGCGGTTACAACGCTGCTCATTTCGTCTACTTGGACGTGGCCTTTTGCGTCACCGACAGCCCATGCGGGATGCCCGTCCTCGTCAACACAACTAGTCCGACATACTACATACGTGAGCACCAGTGTGCATGATTTGTTTACACAACGACGAGAACCAATAACCAATGTGTTGGCTAACAAGTAAGTATTGCTGCGGAAATGAGAAGAAGGTGTCATTCAAGAATACCGTGTAGATCAACTAAACTTCTGTGACTTCAACTTCTGGGAAAATCTGGAACGATGAACGTAATAAAAGGTCATCGCCGTCAAAAGATTAAATATTTACTTGGCGATAAAAAGTATTAATTGCACGGGTTTGCGCTGAAAAAATGTGTCGCATGTTTAACTAGTGGCGTGAACAAAATTTTGCCATTTTGCACTCAGTTAATGGGATAACCATGACCGAAGACAAATCTATGTCAGGTAGACGCGGCCAATCATGCCGAGAGGCTCTTATTCCCAGAGTTGATAATGTTCAAAGGCGAGGATTAGTCGATCCCAAAAAGATCTTACCTCTTCCACTTCATATCTAGTTGGGGCTTGTGAAAACATTACGCAAAAAGGAGACTGTTTCATGTATCTTAGTGAAAAGTTTCCTGGTCTATGTAATGTTAAGCTGAATGAGGGCGTTTTTGTTGGTTCATATACATAAGAAAACTATTAAAAGATGAAACCTTCGTCACAGAATGGAAATGGAAGAAAAGAATGTTTGGAATTCATGTAAACTAGTTGTAACAGGCTTCCTTGGAAGCAAATAATACACTTACTGGTTGCTGAATTGTTACAAAACTACAAAATGCTGTGCTACAATGAGTCATGAGTCTATTTACTTTACTCACATGTAGACTACATTCCAAAAAATCTCGGAGCTGTAAATGAGGAACAACGAGAATGTTTCCATAATATATTTGAGAAATGAAACACCAAGATTAATGAAATGTCATGATTGCAGACTACTGTTATATGTTAAAAATGGAAAATTCAAATTTGCACTACCAAAAAACATCATAAATAGCCTTGATGGAAAAAAAGTCTCTATAAAGACTATTTATAACTTTGCAACACATACGCACTACCATCCATATTTTAGCTAAAAAGTGTAGAGTGTTTCGATTTTCCTTCGTGCTAACATAATAAAAACTAGTCCAAAATCATTATATTTCGAAATTATTTAGTCTTACGTGACAGGAGATAAATCAATATCATTTGAAAACAGCCCAAAAAACTACATTAAGATCATTCAACAAAATAAAAAAAATTTTTAAAAAGTGTTTTATTTTGCAGACCTGTGTTGTCAGCAAATTTTACCATAACTTATGTTCAGCGAAACTGAATCAAATGTCACGAAAATTAAAAATGGAATCTGAATGACAACTTAATATATCATACATAATAATGTCTTAGTCAACACAATACCACATGCAAAGTCATGAAAGATGTAAGGCATATCAAGAATTCAATTGCTGTAATTCAGCCTCTTCATTTATTTTCTAGAGTCGAGCATAGCGGAGACTTGCGGCGTGTTTAAATAGGATGTGAAGGAATTTCCCTCATTGTTATTTTTATTCAATCGAGCATGTCGGCAATGTACGTGTTTCGGTGATAATCACCGAAACACGTACATTGCAGTGGCATTGTGGCAACATGTACATTGCAGTACATTGCAGTGGCAACACGTACTTTCCATGGCATTAACACAAGTCTAGAAATTTGAGTCTCGAAATTTTACACTGCTCAGGTTTCCCAAGGCACAATAATAATCAAACCTTGGCCTTCCACGATTTATTTTCGTTGAACTCTAAATCAAAATGACAATAGGAAATTTTGAGTAAAACACAATTCTAATCAAATTTTGCTGCCGCCTCATCCATGAGCATCTATTTCTATCCCTTACCCTGTGATGTCGACCTCTTACTTTGTTGATAATTTTGTATAGCAGCGAGATTATTAAATCCATTTCAATTTATAGTAAATGAATGCGGCAACACCATCCAACTCTCGCCTCTAAATGACGGACTTCTATACTCGTACTCACATCCCGGGTTTGGATGCAAGGCGTTCCCCGACGGCCCGACCTACAACTGCAGCGTCACCTTCACGACAGCTAATACAAGGTCCTTTTTCTATTATGGTTATTTTTCTGGCGCTGACGGGTCCTGCGACGGCTACACGTTGGGCCTTGAAGCAACTTGGGCCGACACTTCAAAAAACGTTGATTTGTGCTCCACTGCCAAATTGGTCAGCAATATACCGTCTTCTCATATTACAACGACTTAGTTGCTTGTACATACTATTTGCTCACAATTTTAATGAATATTTATGTATAAGTTATTTGCCATCGCATTGAGTCCCGATCTTTCTGTGTAATTAATTACTCCACATTGGTCCTAGCTGAACAATAACTCTAATTTCAATCATAACTGTTAACATTTTTAAAATATGTTATCTATTCGATCTTCGCATTTAAGAGGTAATTTTCTTAATTCTCGGACACTTGCACTCTATTGCAGGGCTGCCTTAGTTAATGCATCTTTTTGTCTAATAACTTGTTCGTGGTCACCTTTTGACTCCACTGTTATATTCGTCTTGCATTACCGTTCCAAACCAAATTTCATTCATTACTTATAAGAAATAAATCTAAAAAATTTTTTACTCACATCATTGCTCCTGAGGAAATAAGTCACTGAAATATACATTATCACTCTGAGCGTCATTGTTAAAATGACCCCCTAATATGGTTTTAATTTTCAGAGCGAGCCCTTCAATTCTGTAACCATCACTCTCCGAGGCACTGCAGCAGCGAAGACGTTCAAAGCGGGGTTCTCCATTTATATGTATTAAGTTCTGAGACTGTCAGCCTAGTGGCTAACCACTGCAAAAGCGGTCCTTGATGGGAGGTTATCTAGGCATGTGCGTGAGAATTAGAATTTTCTACTGACGACATTTTGTTCCTCAGTAGTGATTAGTTTAGAGAATCGGAGTTTTCTGCTGTCTCTGGCAATGATTGCCAATAATCTCGAGCAGCGGTTTGCTATTAGGTTTTGCCTCAGATTTTGGCACTATGCAACATTGGCGAAACTTCGGGATGCCTTTTACAGTGCAAAGCATGTTCTTTTTTCACGTTTATCGGTTACAGGCAAACAACTGTTAAAAAAGCATTAAAAGTCAGGTTGAAGACAATGCTGAGCTGTTCATAACTCTGGGATGCAGGCAACGTCAAGAGGCAGTAATTGTCTGTAACATACATTCTTTGAATAACCTTTTATAACCTATAAATGCCGCAAGTGGTGTAGCAAGAACGAGTTATTATTGTGCTGAGCACCCTGAAGGCTCCTCACCCGCAAAGCCATGAGCGTTCTTGCGAGTTCATCAATGCATGTTTTGTATTAATGAGCTGGAATAAGTAGCGTTGCAAATAATTTACCAATTTTGCAAGTTTCGTTAACCCCATAAGTGAAAAAATTGCAATGTTTTTTGGATCGCGTCATCCCGATGGCCAAATTGATCTTAATTTTACCGGCACTCGTAGTAAGCTCTCAGCTTGTTGATATTCAGTGGAGTGCGGGAAATCACGAGTTTGGTTGTGTGTTTGTGTAATGATCCATGTGTTGGAGGCGTGTAATCAAGTTTTAATGGGTTTAAAGGATTTTAGGGGTTTAATTTATATCGTGTTCTAAAATATGCTCTTACTTTAGCTGTGTGAAGTGGTGATGCCACGCACGGGTGCTCTTACTTTAGCTGTGTGAAGTGGTGATGCCACGCACGAGTGCTGTTACTTTAGCTGTGTGAAGTGGTGATGCCACGCACGGGTGCTGTTACTTTAGCTGTGTGAAGTGGTGATACCACGCACGATTGCTGTTACTTTAGCTGTGTGAAGTGGTGCTGTTTCTCCAGCTGCATCAAGAAATTCTTTCGATTTTTATCAGCACAGAATTCAATTTTTGCTCAATAAAACGACTGTTCAGGAGAAGAGCCTCCCGCAATCAAATCTTTCGTTGCCTCGACCTTAGAAAATCTGTTAGGAGAATCTAATCGACTATGACAGAGGAATAAAGTAGCCATAATTAGAATTTCATTCTTATCGAGGATATAAAACCCGTGCTTGTCGAATTGGCCAATTCTATATCATTTGTTCTTCAATTATATCAATTCTTCTAAAATTTACTGCAGTCCTTGATCAGTTTATGTTCAAAATCAGGTCGTCTTAAAGAAAGGTTAGAATTCACGTGTTTTAATTTTGTGTGTGCGAGCTGTCAATGAAAATAAATGCACATGTTGAAGTTTCAAAATTTATCGATCAATCTTCAATGATAACTTCGGTCGCTTGCTGAGTTCTCGACTCTGCAGTGCCCAGTTGTGGGGCTAAACACGCAATATAGTAATTAGGTTATCTCTGCGACAATAAGAGGGGATCAGGCGTGGCATTACCTACGCACTCATGGTTTCCCCGCCACCTTGTCATTTATTCGAGTCATGACTGTAAAAAAATTCCAATCTTCTGTTATTTTCCTCAGTTATTACTTTCTGACCCTGATGTTATTCACCTCTCCAGTAAATGTATTGCATTCATACGTTGTTTCTATCGCCTATTTTAACTTAGAGCTCCTCAATAAGCTGTGGCTTAATCCTCAACTAGGAGTTGATGTTGTCATTTCACCTCAACAACCTAACCTGGACCTAACTTGTCCAGATGGAGAACAACGATCGTGACACTAAAAAACCTAGAAGAAACTACCGCATAAGCACTTAGCGTTCTTCTGGTTACAGGTTACTATAGCACTAAATGCTAGAGTTGAAACTAGGTGTTAACGTGCAACTGTACAACGAAACAATCCTCAGACCCTCATGCCAGTTTGGGTCCCCAAAACCATCCTCTTTGAATTTAAGGTGTTGAGAGGTCGGAAAATATTTTTTTGGGGGGTAAAATAACAAATCAAAGTTTTGTGGCCCCGATCGAGCAACAAATTCCACAAACTTTAGGTTATTATCGCTTTAACTCTGCAGATACATTCTTAAATATTTCAATTGAAACTCATTAGAAATGATCAGCAATTTTGTTTGAAAACCAAACCAATGTCGAATTCCTTCTGCAAAAACTAAATAGGACAAATGGAATATTCTAAATACAGCCTAGAAGTGAAAGCTAAAAAAATAATGAAAATAAATAATAGATGTAAAAATTTTAGCTGCGTGAGCTGAAAATTTTTAGGGAACGTCTTCATTTTCTCGTCAGTACTGAGGACGCTCTGGATCATAATGCGCAATTACTCCTTCATTGAATATATCAGTATAATTCATTCAGTCTCGTCAAAAAAAGTCTAGGACATCATAGAGAGGCTGAATACATTGTCACGTGTTTTCAATATTAATGATGAGGAAACAATACAATAAAAAATCATTCTTTCAAATTTAGGCGCATCAAACATTACGTGGATTAAATTTCCTTTCTAACTTCATCAAGTTCCCTAATAGTTAGACTATCCATTTCCCACATTAATACACTCTGCATCAATACGTCATATATAATAATTTATTCAGCCATGACGACCTGCGGCAATTTGAGCATCTCTAAACCCATCTTTGAAATTAATTATGGACGTACATGCAGTGCAGCGTGGTGAGAAAACTGAACTGATTTCTATCCATCTACCGCAGCACGTAGAGCCTCTAGCTAACATCATTTTATTTCTAGATAAATTTTAATGCAATTTGAGTCATATGAGACTGCTTCCATGCATGTATATTACGTAAGCGCAACAAAATAATATTATATCCTGCATGGTATTACATATTCCTTATAAATTGTTACTAACCAATAAAGTTAGCAGCAACCAAACGACCAAGATTTATCTTGAAATCGGCTAACGGCTATAACTATGCCATATTGACAATAGACTGTAGCAAATATCGAGAATTTTTCCATCAATCTCAGCGACAGAGTTGCTAAAATATTTATTGCTGCAGCTTATGTGTCGCGTCTACAGCGGCCGTACGTTGATAACTCGACTGAACCTTTACGAAGTCAAGAATAAGAACTAAAAGTCAATATTTTTTCCTTTCAAAAACGTATCAATTCTGCGTACGTTTTAGCTCTGATATATATGAGGATAGTGACTCTTCTTCAACACCAATTTCCCTTCACTAGTACGGCAATTTATTTGCAGCCTTTAATTCTTTTCCTAAAAGTGTACCTGATCAAGAGAATAATCTTCTATTTTTACTGCTGCAAGCGACTAAAGCCCACTAGTTTTTCGCTGGCCGTCTCCAATAAGTTGGTAGGAGCGGGAGTTGTGAAGATGTTATATTGTTGTATTGATTTTATATTGTTGTTTAAAATTGTCTCTAAAACCTCTTTATCTTAACAAAGAATGCAATGTTGCAGGAGACTCTGGATAATGTCACTCAGGTTGCGAACAGTTAATCCATTGAACTTCTGTTCATCTATCACTCTAAAATTTTTGATGCGTTTTCCTTGAAATTCGAGATGAAACGTTGAAACGCGAACTGCATGATTTGTTTTTTAATAAATATCAGATGAATGAAAGAATCTTCTGAAAATTAGTAAAATCGAGGCTAGGATTTACACTGCCTGTATCACAGAAATTCGAATAAATATTTCAGTCCGGTGAATATGCGTATTTCCTATTCCACGATATCGTAGCTTCATTCGGGCTCGTGTTGAGTAAAATTTACGCCAAATGTATTATAGTTACACAATAAATTAATCCGAGTAAATATATACATAGTGCAATAAATTTATCCACAGTAAATATATCTAACTTATCTACATGGAATTTATCTGACTTTATCTACAGTAAATTGATCTAAATCTATCTTTAGTGAATTTATCTAAATTTATCCACAGTAAATTTAACTGACTTATAGGAATTACGAATAACTATGAAAGAAGCGTTATCTAGAACCTAGCTTATGTAAAGTTGTGAAAATAGATAGAGCGAGGTGTTATTCCTGTGCATAGGGATTAAACTTGGGGTAAAATACTAGGCGACGCTACGTGACAGGCCGTAGGAGTACTTAAGTAGCTGGGCGCATATGGCGTCGAGAGAAATCCGTGGCAACCGGCCGTGCGAGAGGCTGTAACAATTGTCTCTGTTGGTGAAGCCCCCGATCTCTGCCGCGTCTTCGTCGTGGGGGTACCCTGGCCTACGCGTCGGCCGGTTACCCGGCATTCACGTGGGCCAGGCCAAACGGCAGAGGCCCCCCCGCCCGGATCGCTGGTGTTAGGACTGTACTAATGACCGAGTATGCTGGTGTATGGACTGTAATAAATACCGAGTATGCCTGTGTTTGGACTGTCCTAAGTTCCGAATATGCAGGGGTTTGGACTGAACTAAGTACCGAGTATGCAGGTGTATGGACTGTAATAATTACCGAGTATGCAGGTGTTTGGACTGTACTAAATTGGACTGTAATAAGTACCGAGTATGCAGGTTTTTGGATTGTACTAAGTACCGAGTATGCAGGTGTTTGGACTGTAATAAGTACCGAGTATGCAGTTTTTTGGACTGCACTAAGTACCGAGTATGCAGGTGTTTGGTCTGTACTTAGTACCGAGTATGCAAGTGTTTGGACTGTATTAAATACCGAGTATGCAGGTGCTAGGACTGTACAAAGTACCGAGTATGCAGGTGTTTGGACTGTACTAAGTACCGAGTATGCAGGTGTATGGACTGTAATAATTGCCGAGTATGCAGGTGTTAGGACTGTACCAAGTACCGTGTATGCACGCGTTAGGACTGTACTAATTACCGAGTAAGCTGGTGTTTGGACTGTACTAAGTACCGAATATGCAGGAGTATGGACTGTACTAAGTAGCGAGCATGCAGGTGTATGGACTGTACTAAGTATCGAGTATGCTGGTGTTTGGACTGTACTAAGTACCAAGTATGCAGGTGTTTGGACTGTAATAAGTACCGAGTATGCAGGTTTTTGGATCGTACTAAGTACCGAGTATGCAGGTGTTTGGACTGTACTAAGTACTGAGTATGCAGGTGTTTGGACTGTACTAATTAGCGAGTATACAGGTGTATGGACTGTAATAAGTACCGAGTATGCAGGTGTTATTACAGTACCAAGTACCGAGAATGCAGGTGGTTGGACCGTACTAAAGACCGAGTATGCTGGTGTAAGGACTTTACTATGTACCGAGTATGCTGGTGTTTGGACTGTACTAAATACCGAATATGCAGGTGTATGGGCTGTACTAAGTACAGAGGATGCAGGTGTTAGGACTATACTAAGAACCGAATATGCAGGTGTATGGACTGTACTAAATACAGAGGATGCAGGTGTTAGGACTGTACTAAGTACCGAGTATGCAGGTGTTTGGAATGTACTAAGTACCGAGTATGCAGGTGTTTGGACTGTACTAAGTACCAATATGCAGGAGTATGGACTGTACTAAGTAGTGAGTATGCAGGTGTTTGGACTGTAATAAGTACCGAGTATGCAGGTGTATGGACTGTTTTAAGTACCGAGTATGCAGGTGTTTGGACTGTAATAAGTACCGAGTATGCAGGTGTTTGGACTGTACTAAGTACCGAGACTGTATGCGGGCGTATGGACTGTACGAAATACCGAGTATGCTGGTGATTGGACTGTACCAAGTACCGAGTATGCACGCGTTAGGACTGTACCAAGTACCGAGTATGCATTTGTTTGGACTAAACTAAGTACCGAGTATGCAGGTGATTGGACTGTACTAAGTACCGAGTG